GCCTTACCAGTTGCACCCCTGATGATGAAAGAGATGGAAAGTGATTTTCACTTTCACAGTGCATTTCTTGCAACATTTGATTGTAATAAATGAAAAAGATTCATGAATATCAAAGGATAATGCTAAAAATAAGCAGACATAATATTTGTAATTTATTTAATCAGCCATGCCTAAAAGAGAATTTGCTGCCTAAATACAAATACATATATATGCAGATGTATGCATATATTATTTTCCAATATTCTGGTCATCTGGAAAACTAAGTCATCTTGACAGGTCAATGTTGGAAAATTAAGATTGATGGTTCATTCTCTGGTGGAAGGCTACCAGTCAGGTGTCGTGGTCACTGATAGAGAAGGCCTGCTCGATAGTGATGTGACGTCACAAAAGTAGTCCATGCAGTGAAACAAACAGTAATCGTAATGTAACGAATAATTGTAAGAAAAAAATTGGTTTTAGAAAACTTTTTAAAAATACATTTATAAAAGAAAGAAACAGAATTGGATTTTATACAGAACTTTATTTCAAATTAATTTTTTAAAAATAACCTATAAGAAAAAAGTGTTATTGCTGAATGTTTTGTTAAAGAAATTAAACATCATGTTACACTTCATTAAATTTTAAAGACCGAAATTCGTTCATTATTTTATTTGTTTCAAATTTGAAAACATTTTTAAAATCATGATCAGTATTGTTTTAATTTGCATGTTTTTATCTTAATTTTAGCAATTATTCTGTAAAGTTACAATATCGTAAAAGTATTTAATGATTATTTTTATTCTTATACACTCGGACAGCAACAACTCAATTATGAATTAGGAAACAAACAAACAAATAAACAGATGAGGAAATCACAAGTAAATGATAAATAGACGGATAAAATATAAATAAGAAACAAATATAGACTAAATACATGAAAGTAAATAAATTTGATACAAAAAAGAAATTTAAAATTCAAATAATACTTATAGAAAAGTAGGTTACAGACAGACAATTTTAAGATCGAAATTCATTCATGATTTTAATTGTTTTACATTTGAAAATTTTTTATAAATCATAATCAGCATTGTTTTAATTTGCATGTTTTTATTTCAATTTTAATAATTATTCTGTAAAGTTACAATTTTTGTAATCATTAAGAGATTATTACTCAAATAGAGTAACAACTGAATTATGAAACAAACAATAATTAAATGATGAATAAATAAAATAATTATGATGAATAAATAAAACAATTAAACATAAATAAGAAACAAATAAATACAAACAAGCAAATAAATTAGATACAAACAATAAATAGATTTAAAAATCAAATAATACTTTCAGAAAAATAGGTTACTGATACAAAATGTAGCTGAATGTTTTAAGTTTTCTTTTTTTTTTATTTGCTTAACTTGTTAATTGTAATATTAATTATTTTTCCTAGAACAAAAATTATTTAAAAGAGCATTTGTAGAGCTCCAAACATTCTTTGTATTTTTTTCTCTATTGTGACCCTCATCACAAGTGTCAACATTAAAAAAAAAGCTCATCATCTGCCAAAACATTCAATGTTATATGCATGGCTATTTTTCTTTGATTTACTGAATGAAGAAAAGAATGATTTTTTTTTATCAGTTTATCAATGACTACATAATTATAGAGAACAAAATTTATAGTTTTATCATTAGGATATAAGAGAGAACCTCTATTAATCTCCTGAAAATAGCTGCTTATTTCAGGTATTTCTTCCACATTATCTGTTACACTTCCAGATATTAAATCTTTGCAACTATTGCATTTAATTTTCTTAAAAACTGCATTACAGCAATAACCTGCTAAGTATAGCATTACAGGTAGAACTTCTCTACAATTATTAACATCAATTCTATATTTATACATATCTAACTTTTCCTCCTCTGTCACTTCATCCCAGTTTAGTTCTTGTAAACTCTAAATCAATTTTAATACATTGCTGATTAAATGGTAAGCTCAATTTTAAAACTGATTGCCTTCTAATTTTTTTTTTTTTCACACTCAAACACTTGCCGTATCGAGATATTATACAGATCCCCAGTAAGTTGCTGGTATTGACCAAACCTAGCCTCAAGGTAATCAGTTTGAAATTTGCCTGGTAATATGTATAGCATTTTCAGTTCTACTATGCAATACTTGGTCAGTTTTAAAAAATGCATAGGTTGTATGATGCAAAGCAGTGAAGGTTTCCTTTGTTAATTTGCCATTTCTTCCAGAAATGCTATTCCAAGATTCTAACTAGTCACAGAATACAGAGAGAAATCTAAAATTTTCTTCATTCATTCTAAGTGGATTGCAGTATTTATTTCTAAGCTGACAACCTTTATATGGTGTTTTAACATTCATTATTGTCCGCCAAATATAAAATATGTTTATATATTCTGCAACTTTTGCAAAATTAGGCAAATATTTCTGTTTTCCTAAGGTCAATAATCCTTGAATAGTGTATTCATTAAAAATTTGCAGAATTAAATTAACATTTTGCCTTTCAAGATTAGTAGGAGAAAGTGCCTTTGAGGTTAATTTATAACAATATTTCAAAATTGACTGAGATTCTAAGCCATGAAGTTTCTGTAAGGTAGAAAATGGGGCACTTTGGATATTATCTAATTCATGATTTCCATTATGACAAAATTTGGGGAACAGCATGCATTTATTTGCATCTTTTTGACCAAGCCAATTGTTTCTAATGCATTTTAATATATGGACTGAGTCAAAAAGGAAAAAAAGAGGTCGAGACTTTATAACTGGATGTGGATATACAATGGAAAACTTTGGAGGACTGCAAAAGAAAGATATAGCTTTTTTATTTATATCATTATTATCCGTTATGATTAATACTTGAAAGCCTATCTCCTCTAAACCAATTATTATACGTTTAACTATTTCAAATAACTTCTCAACTTTAAGACATTTAGTTGGTATAACATGCACAACATCTTTATATTGTGAGAATACATTGCTAATCCTGAACGCAAAAGCACTTGTTGCAGCTTCCCTGCTGTTATCAGATAAGCCAACAATATTACCACCCTTATAATCTAAATAAGGTTTTAGATGAATTTCATCAACAAGTAAAGATACTGTGATGCCCTTCTGCACCCATAGCTTAAATTTATTTTTAATATACATAAGAAAATTGTTATGTTGCTCAATCAAAGGATTCATATATGTTGATAAGGTTAGTCTTTTAATGGTTGAATAGCTAGGTAAAATTATATTTTTTAAGATCAGAATTCTCTAGTCGGATTCTCCTGGAATCTGGTGACTCTCTAGAAGTATTCAATGAAGATAAATATGAGGTACAATTTGGGAAAATTGTAAGAATAGCACCATCACAAAGATATATTTTTTTTTAGTTTTACTGCAATTGTGACACCTGTTTTTTTTTTTTCATCAAAAACTGACGATTCTCTCCTGATGTCTTCCGATCGAAAATGTAGTTCACATACCTAAAAACTCAAAAAGATTTTAAAAACCAAACCTATTTTAAATTCTTGTGAAAATCTAAGAAAATCAATCAGCAAAAATCTACAATAATATGAAGCATTAACAATTTTAGGAAAAGTGGAGAGAATTCAACAAGAGATTATTAGTGACGAAGTTATGTACAAATAAGAGAATTTTTAACGTCTATTCATTTTTTAAAAATTTAAAATGATAAATAACATTCTTATGAATAAAACAATTCTAAAAAATTGTTAAATTATTAATGCCTATTCCTTTATGAATTTATAGAGAATTTCTTTTAAGTTTATTTTTATAAAAATTAGATTTCAGCTTTTAAAAACTTTCGCAACTTTCTTTTTAATGTTTTGTGAATTGTAAAGATATGAAATTATTTTAATCCTCAAAGTTTCAATGGAGTTTAATAACTTTTTAAAACAAAACTTTATTTTAAAATGTGTTGTGAATTACAGACATGAAATTAATTCAATTAAAGTTTCATTTGGTCACGAATAAAACAATTCTAAAAAAAAAAAAAAAAAAAATCATTAAAATTATTAGAATTATCTTTTATGTATATAAAATATTCCTTTAGGAATTCATGAATGAATTTATGTTGAAAATTTCTTTAAAGTTAATTTCTTAAAAAAATGAGGTTTTAGCTTTTAAAAGCAACACGTACGAGAATGAATGTCTAAACTTTCTCGCTAGATTTATGTCTTAATTACTTTATGTTATGAATTACAAAGACATGGTGTTAATTTTATCACTAAAGTTTCAATAAAATTTACTTATTTTTAATACAAAAAATACTCACTCTGCTGAATTTAGTTGGTGAAAAATGATCTCTTCTGATTGTACAAATCCAAACATCAGATAATTCTTTATCTTTAGGGAAAGAAAATACATGTACTTTAGGGCCGTTTTTATAATTCCCTTTGCAATTTGGTACAACGCATCTATAAGGCATTGTTTTTGTTTTAAATTAATTCAATATTTAAAAGAAAATATTAATAAATAATTTAAAAATGCAGCTGTAAAAAATCTGATACACAAAACAAACAACACGCTTCTTGAAAGTCGAACTCAATGTGACAACGTTACATTTTTCACTACTCCAATGAAACAAGCCTTCTCTATCGGTGGCCACGGGTGTGCCCCACAGGAGAGATAAGAGGGCATAATCCCCCAGAACATTACACAAATGATAAGTGTAGAAATGTTCATAGTGTTCTTTTCCAGAGTTACCATTACTTTTTTTTTTTCCCCCCAGATACATCTTGGCCATTGAGTGTAACACTTGTGACAAGGCTTTTTGTTTGGCCATTGGATCTGTTCGTTTTAGTGAGGTAGATGCAACCGTCATGATTCTTTTATTTTCAAGATATTATTTTCTTTAGACAAGTAAAAGATTTTTTACATCTTCACCAGGGAGAATCGTAATTGTGTGATGAATCGTGAACGCCAGAAAATCAAGTGTTTGGATAGAAACACTATGTTTTCCTCAAGGCGTCACTTTTCCCAACAGCGAGTCAAACTTGACCATCTTGAATTGGATTGCTTGGGAAGATCCCCAACTTCACATCATACTTCCATTTAAATTTGTGGGTTCCATCAACCTTATTGTTTAACTTGGCTAGGAAAAAGAAAAGAAAAAGAAAGATTAGCTTTCATCATTCAATAATATTAATAAAATACAGAGATGCACTATGAGACAAAGTGTTTGTGTGTGTGCTTATATATATATATATATATATATATATATATATATTATATATATATATATATTATTATTTTATGATGTCTGATGCCTAACCAGGAGAAAACCCAAAGATCTGAAACTTCAGCAATCGTAGACTGAATTTCCCCCTACACTGAAGAAAAAAAAAAGTAGTAAATTCAACAGAAAGAATAATGTTCGTGATTTTGCCTAAAATCGTAAATTAAAAGAATATTTGGTCCAGAGAAAGAGATGCATTTATGTGGCAAGAGCAAATCAAAGAAATGCCTGTAAAATGCATTTTTTTTAAAAATTTGTAATAACAGTTACGTAACTTAATTTTTTTGTTCACAGACCAAAAGGCTGCCCTCATCTTAATTCAGGAATTATTCTAAGAATTATTACTTTGTTCCTGTCAGACACTTTATCAAGTCAAGATTGAATATTTTTAGGTATCCTTTCTCAAGGAAAGGAATGCTTAAGGATCCATGCTGTTCTATGAAATAACAAGCCAGTCTTGTATGAGTTCATAACACCTCAATGTTCAATGCAGATGAATCACTGGATAGACAGCTACTTGAGAGAAATTGGTGCAACACAATCTTTCAATTGGATCTGTTACAGATTAGCATAAAATCTCAAAGATATAGCATTGAATTTCTCATTTATAAATTCGATTAAGATGATTCCCAATTTAGTGGGACTTGTTAGTAACCAATTTCATTAACAGATTCAATATGGATTCCTCAAAGTGCCATATTAACAGTGGTACACTCAGTGAGGACCAAAATCACTGCATTACTAATCAAATGAAAGTTACCCAGTACTTATTGGATTAATAGAGCATTCCTTACATTTTTTTTTTTACTACCAATGCCATCAAAAATAAAGGCTTTTTTTTTTCATTTTTTTTATTTATCCACCGTAGTTATGTTATTGATAATTGGCTTCAGTGAACAGAACATTATTTACTCCATGAGCCGTTTTTGGCATTTCTTGCACTTCTCATGGCGCCAATATTCTTTCATCTGCTGTGTTGCTCTTCAGTTTCTTGTCAAAGATGTTCTTTTATTTGCATTCTCATATTTTCTCTTGTATTAAATTCTTTGTTTTTAATTTTGAATCCTTTCAGCTACACATTTTCTCATAGCAGATGACCTGGCATTAGCTTCATCCCTCGTTTCATTGTTGTCCTCTATTTACCCTCCCTTCCTGTCTCATTAATTTTCACCTCTGAGCCTAGCATCTCCTGGCTTGTGCTCTTATTGCTTCATTGCATTCCTGAGAATATCTCTAGCTACAACCCTCCCCAATGCCATGCCTCTATCTGATCCAGAGATAGGTGTAATCACCGCCTTCATTTTCATTCTAATCTTTCCTCAAGGGAATTTTCCATTTTATGATGTCCAGGGAACAAAATTTTTAAATGCACAAAAAGTAACACAAAGGGAATTATTTAAATTTCTTTTCTACATTTATTGACCAAATTTGTGCCGAATCTTTGATACAAAAACTAAAATCTATTTATATATGATGATAATATTCTAGGTGTAATTACAAGTTAATACTAAATTCACTCAATAGTTATTTAATTACATATTTAGAGGGAAAAAGTGATAAAATAATTTACATAAAATATATAGTGACTGATGCCTTTTGTGCAGCAATGTTAATAAAAATGTCATGATTTGTTTGAAAGTAATTGTTATTTGTAAACAAATGATTATTACCACCGTTTGTAAGTCAGTTTGTCATATTAGGCCCTCAGAAGGGACAATAATTATTATATGGTTTAATTCAGATTCTACTGACTGAGCACATTATGAAACTGCAAACACAATACAAAATAAAAGGCCAAGAATGTACATGTCTCCAACACAATTTGATACTTATAAGACTGAGTTTTAACTGTTAATTTTGAAATGTTACAATCTTGAAGACTTTAGTTTACTCTAAGATTTTTTCATTTCTGTGGCCAGGTATTGAACTCAAAATTCTTTGGGTTAAGTCACTGGATTTCTTCAATACTTTTATGCACCGGACTATGTGTCCTTGGGGACAGCAGATATGAACAAAAATTTGGAGAGTCGAGTTACTAAAGGAAAATAACTGAAACTGAGATATCCAGAAGAGGCATGGCACATGGAACTAGAACAATCTACCCCAGTGGACTAGCATCCTGGGTATGATGATAAACTACATCTGGCAGCAAGCCCTCTAATCAGGAGGTTATGAGGAGCGTGGAATCATCTCTTAATTGCTGTTGTTCCCAGGTCCACCCTGTTAGGGTTTCAGCTATGATCAACTAGTTAGGTTTGGTTTGTTTTATGGCATATTAACCTCAATGGATAATTAAATGCTTACAAAATTTTTATACTGGTAATTTTTTTTTTTTTTAAATATATTGCTGGTAATTTTTTTTTTTTTTTTCCTTCAAAAATCTATTTCTGGTAATATTTTTTCCAAAAATGTATTACTGGTAATATTTTGTTTGTAATGATTTACCTTTAAAAATGTATTGCTGGCAATAATTTTTCTGTCCTTCTTTACAGGAGTGAATGTTGGACAATTTCCTCAAAGATGAAGAGACTAGAGGTGACAGAGAAGTGGTTCTACAAAAGGATGCTAAAGATATCATGGACCAAGCGTGTGAGCAACGATGTGGTCTTAGGTTGCAAACAAGGAGATGGCTTATACTTAACATCAGGAAGAGGCAGCTGAAGTTTCTGGGACACATAATGAGGAAGGAGGGCCTGGAGAATCTGATACTCAAATAGAGAGACAAGGGAAAGCACTGCATGACATATCTGACGAGCTTGAGCAGGTGGATGACAGAACATGGTCTGAGGGAGGAAGCAGAGGGAAGGAACTGGCTGAGAGCTGCAAAGGATAGAGGGAGGTGGTGAGCCATGATCACCTACATCTTGAAAAGACATGGCACATAAAAAGAAATGATTCTACGCTGTGCATTCCAGCAAGACATTTTGAATATTCAACACACAAAATGAAAGACATGTAACTATTTATCGTCTAAGCATCTATCAACATTGATGATAAAAGTGCTGAAATTGTAGGTAATAATCACGTCTATTAATATGATACTTACTCATTACATTTTCGGCAGGTTTATCCATACTTAGTGTTCCAGATGAATCTAGAAGAGAAAAAAAAAATTTATCTCTTGTTGCTTGACGATTGTTGGTAAATCCCAGAGGTTGAAATTTACTTCATATGCTGACCTTGAAAAGCATTTAACTTCAATACTGTCATCCCACAAATATACAGAATATTAGCAACATATTTAGAATTCAATTTGTCCGATTGATATTGTTTTATGGAAGCCTCATGATAAATGTATATGATCCAGGTACAAAGAGTCATGTTAACTTTCATTGGCAGTTTGAAATGTCACACTGCTGAATAAGTGTCTAATGATTCCCAGTTAAATATAGATCATTTTCATTGATGTCAAATGCAGAGCTGCTCTGATGCAATAGTTGGGACTTTGACACCAGATTGCAATAAGTAACATTTGAGATAGGAAATGCAGTCAGTTTGGTAAGATTCTTTTTAACACTTGAGAGACTCCTTTTTTTGGCCAGCAGTAAACTGTATCAATTTGGTGTTGGGATATTTGACAGACAAAAGGAGTTTAATTTTCAACATGATAGCATACAGTACCCACTTTACAGATTTTTCTTTTGTTTGGCCAGAGGAAAGAAAGAACTCATTACATACTGGTTAATGCTGTTAAAGAGACCTTTAGATTTTAAATTCTTATAAGGGACCATTACATTATTTTACAAGGCTTGCTTTAATGCCAATGAAATGTTTTGGTTAAAACCAGATTTTATATATATATATATATATATATTACATACACACTTGATATTAATTGTAATGTAAGTTTACCTGTATGACAATAATTACAAGGTGGTGCTGAAAATTTTTTGGTCAAGATCAGATTCAAAGATAAATTCTCATGTTCATTTGGTCAGATGTTGGGAAATAGACTGAGCCGAAAACTTTTCAGCACCCTACTCATACACGAGAGAAAAGTACAAAAAATATAGAAGAGAGATTAATCTTTTTTTTTTTTTTTTTTTTTTTTTTAAAAACCTTGTAAAATCTGTTCATTTTAACAAAATAAAGAATGAAAAATAATCCATGTTTCCAAATACTATTGTAATTCATTCAAAGACTTATCAATTTTGTATAAAAGCTATTGTTTAATAAATGTTTAATTAAAAGTAATAATAATCTATGTATGAACAACTATACATAGGTTCAGAGATAAAAACCTTCAACTTCCATTCTCCATCCTTATCTTAAGAAATATGTAGAGAATTAATGAAAAGGTATTTGAAATTTACCAAAGTGGAAGTAATGCAGCTGAAAAGAAATCTATCTATAAAAGACAGGATATGTGTGTGTGTGTGTGTGTGTGTGTGTGTGAGATGAATGCACAGCTGCAATTTGACGGATTTGCACCAAAATTTACATGCACATGCTCCAAGTTAGCGGGAAGGCCATGACCAACATTGCATTTCCGAACTCCCATCGATAGTAGAAATAATTGATTTTTTCATGCTTCTACAACAGTTTTCATGTAGTTTGCAGCCATTTTCTACTGGCAAGAGTGAGAGCCTATAGCTGGCTGCCACAAATAGGCAGGAAGATTCTATTGGCCAACGTGAGAGCCAACAGCTGACTGACACGAATGTTAACTATGGAAAAAAGAAAAAAAAAGATCGATAGCTGCATTCGTCACAGGTGGGAAAAATTTAAATCTGCATGGCACTTTACTCCAATTGGCTCATTCGCTTGCTTAAACTCAACGTTGATTCTGATTCCGCAGAACTGGGTTGGGTGTGAAAAGTATTTGTTGTTAACATTCTTTTTTCATTTGGTTTTTCCAGTTACGAGCCCTTTTTTAAAGCTGATCGTTTTGTGTTCATTTTGTTTAGTTCTTTTTTTGTAAAAGATTTAATGTTTAGAAAAATTTCACAGTGTGAGATAGGCAAGAATTAAGGCATGTAGCAACATCAGCATGGCAAAGGGCACTCCTTTAAAGGCAAGAAAGAGTAAAAATATTTTAAGTCAAGTGATAGCGATTGCTGTATGAGTCATATGATTTTTGAATCAAGCACAGGCAACGACGGGCCATGCTGCTAGTCAAAGATAAGAAGGTTTTATTTTCCCTTTGGATAAATCAAATTATTATTACCACAAGCAACAACCAATTTTTTTTTTTTTAATTTTAGTTAATATAAATTCTATTATTTCATTAGGAATTTTATACAAGTTAATCTTTTTGAGATCTGCTTGAGCTTGCATTGTTGGTTTGAAGTATATTGGTTTTTTAACATCTTGAAGAGAATGAAAGATAAAGAATTCCTGTCTTATAATCTGGTGTGGGTTTTTCTACGAAGATTTAAAAAAAACAAAAAACAAAAAAAAAAATAACTTACCACTAACACTCTCCAGAATGACTTCATTGCTCCTGAAAGGGGAAGTATATGTAGATAGATAGATAGATAAACAAATAAAAATAAGTGTTAGGATCAGATAAAGAGCAGCTTCATTCTTTTATGATATAATTAGCAAGACCAAAGATATTTCAAACAAATTATTGCAAGATTGTAAATGCAACAAAGAAAAATCAAAAGAAAAAACATTTTGAATTTAGGGCCCTCATAAATATTTAGACGATAGAACTTTGTTTTTTCACCAAGTTTAAGGTGGTTTTTCACATGCTATTAAGCATTTAGTTTTATGAATTGTTTGTGCAAAACACAGGTGGAGAAGTTAATTTGATTTTTCAATTTCCATTGAGAAGGGTACCTACAAGTATTAGGTACTTATAAAATTTATATGATCTCAGTTATAATATTTTCCATAAATGAAATATCAAAATTAATAATAAAATGAATGTAAATACAAATAACACAGTAAAATGTAATAAATGTACATAAAATAATATTTTATGTCAGTCAGTTAAGTGCCATATGTGATGCATGCAAAGGCAATTATGTATCTTTCGATACATAACTGACAAGGGAGATTTTTCCTGTAGTTGGTTGCCATTTCTTTCTGCGGTAAACCATTTGCAATCCAAGGCTATAGAACTTGGTCTGTCCTGCTATTTACCCATAGCTGGGGCCAGAAGAAGAGGATTCATACTTTTCCCAAGGGCATTAGCACATAAGTGAATGTAATGGATTCAACTGGAATTCAGACTCGGCTCTACAATTCCTCGATCCGAGCTGCTATCCATTACTATAAAATTTCATAAGTAAGGTACCTATAAACTATAGTTTTCATAAAATTAGTTGGGGGGGGGGGAATAAATATATATAAAATATATTTTTGCCATGACTTAAAAAAAATGTATAATAATTTAATATTAAATTAAAGAAAAATGAAAAAACTAGAAGAAAAGTGCAAACAATTCTTTTAAAAATTCTTTATTCATAAAAAAAAAAAAAAGTTTCTTCAGATAATAAATGTCTTTAATGCATGTTATTTATAAAAGCAAATAAAAATCTAACTAATTAGATAGTTTTATTGCAGTTTTTATTTTAACATTTGGAGCAGATTTTTTTAAAAAGTTGGCAATAGCTGTAAAAAAAAAAAAAAAATGATTTACTTTCTCCAAGGATTCCTCCTTACAAGTAATATAAAGCAATTTGCAAAACTTTGAAATTCTAAAAAATTTCATAAAATTATGTTATGGAGGGGGTAACAGATGTAAAAAAAAAAAAAAAAAAAAAAAAAAAAATTTTTTACCAAGATTTTCTAAAAATAAAAATTTCAAAAATCAATTCATTCATTTTTGAATAAGTCCTGAAAGTTTCCTTAAAATGAGAATTATCTGATTTTTGCAAGAATTTCCAAATTAATGGGTCTCCCTGGGGAAACTGCTACACTAAAATGTCTACTACCAAAAGTAGTACAAAGTTGATAAAAAAAAAGAAAAGACTTTTGGCCCAAATTTAGAACGTGTTAGAAAGAGGGAAAATTTTTAAAATAATTAAAAAATACTTCCTTTCCTCTTAATAATAACAAACATTTTGACGATAAAACTGTTTTTAAGTTTGGGGCCTTTATGCTAGCGAATTTTTGGATACACCTAATTTTATCTCACTCTTAAGTTTTATTTTAATTTTTTCCACAAAGCATTGTAAACATAAACGTGAAAGGTAAGTAAAAAAAAAGAAAAAAAAAAAACAAAACAATTAGAGAGCTGAAAGTTTTCTTTAAAAAATAAGGTAAATAAGTTGGTTCGCATAAAACTAAATAATTATGTCACTTCTGTCCTTCCATACGGTAACTTTCCCTTATGTAAGTTGTCAATACGTGATGAAATCATCACTCATCAAGTGATACCAAATATTAAGACCTGCTTTGTCTTATTTTTAAACTACTTTTTTTTTTAGCCCAGAAAGTAAGTAATGTTGGTTTCAAAATATTTTAAACTTTATAATTTTCAATTTTCTTAAAATAAATTTTGAAAAAATTATAATTGATTTTTAATCTTAAATGAATTTGAAACGGAGATTTTTATTTTGTTTATAAAATAGTAAAAAATGGTTGACTCGATCGATTTTTTTCAATTTTGCTGACTCAAAAAAAAAAAAAAAAAAAAAAAAAAAAATTAATTTTAACGAAAATTTCGGACGTGCTAGGAAGGATAAAAAAAAAAAAAAAAACTCAAAATACTTTGATCTTACCTCTTAATAATAACATTTAGACACTAAAAATTATTTTTAATCAAATTTAAGGCTGTTTTTATTAATGCTAGGGATAATGAAATTGAAATCCTTCAGAATAGAGTTGAGGAACGATTAAGTTTGTTTTTTTTTAAAGAACAACCTCATAAAAATCAAGCTCTCCTTACAGACAGATTCGACATTAGTTAATAATGTTGAATTGAATGATTAAATTAAATATTATTATCATTGTGTATCCTAACAAAAGAAACAGTCCATACTAAGTACAAAGGATGAGAAGTTCCTACTACTTAACTTAGGGTCGTCCACTTTTTTCGGCAAAATTTTCGATACCTAACTTTAAAATAAATTTAAAAAAATGAAAAAAAAAACATGCTTTAAGATTTCATTTTAGCTTTAATTGAAAATTTAATCATTAAATTTATTATTTCCATTAAGTAAACAATTCTGGTGTATTTCAGATAGAAACTATATACATTGGAATGTCAAATTTAATTTTGGAATTTTAAATTTTCTTAAATCCCGCCATTTTCTTAATTTTAAGAAATTTGTAAACAAACACAAATTTATCGATTTTAAAAAATATTTAAAAAAGTTTCTGACACGTTATTTTAGTAAAATTAGAAAATTTAAAGTTAAAATAATCTGATATGAAACAAACAGTACTAACTTATAGCTTAAAAAATTTGTATCCAAACATTTCTTAACGATGTGTCTGAATTTTTTGCATGTCTTTCATCGAATTCGCACTTGACGAGGCGATGACAGACAGCTATGGATGATCAAAATTGACAAATTTTTAAAAGTAGGCGAACGCGGTTTTTCGTTTTTAACTAGTACTTTTTAAATATTAACATTTTTATTCAGCAATTATGTACTATTTATTTTTTTATTTCATACTTTCTTAATTAGACAATTGTTTAAATTTATTTTAAATTAATAAGAAAATTATTTCAATGAAATATTATCCAAAATAAAAGAAAATACTTTAAAGAAAAATATTTAATAAAAAGTAATTAAAAATAATTACAACTTACTTTTAAAATTTGAAAAGAATTTCTGCAAACATGTTAACGATGTAGATCTGAACTGGACAGAGAAGAGAAATAACTGCGGTGCCAGACGACACAAATCATGTGACCTTTTTAAGGATTATGTCGCGTATACATTTCCATACATAGAAATTATGAACGTTTTTCAATAAAAATTTATTTTTAAAATTATTTTAAAAATATTTCTGTTTAAACAACTGTTATGTGCTTTTCAAAGTTCGATTCGTAAATTTACATTTTCATTAACGTTATCATTGCATTACCCGGTCAAAAGAAATAAATAATTTTAAACGATTTTTGAAGTATTAAGACGTTAATGAAAAAATTTTTTTAAATGTGGAAAAAGTTTGCAGAAAATACATTATTCATCGAAAAATTTTTATTTCTTCACAAAATAATGTCCTTATAACGTATCTACAAAAACAGGTGGAAGCTTTTCTAATTAATTCATACTTTTTTACATTTGTTTTTATTCAAATCTGATTTTCTATAAAATAGTAAAATGTTTTTTTACAATAAAAAAACTGGTGATTTACTTTCTACAAAGATTCCTGTTTATAACTAATAAAAAAAATCCCGCGGGCGCAGATTTAATTTCTTGAAATTTCATGAAAATATGTAAGTGGGTGGAAACATGTTAAAAAAAATCTCTTTTTTAACAAGATTTTCTGAAAAAAATAATTTCATTCATTTCTGAATAAGTCCTGAAAATTTCATTAAAATCCAACAATTATTTGATTTTTGCAAGAATTTCCTAATTAACGTGTGTTTTCCTCGGGAAAAGCGCAAAATAAAACAAACCTTTTTTTAGTTTTTTCGCGCTGTCGTAAAAAAAAAAAAAAACACACAATTTTTAAGCAAAATTTTCTACGTGCTTGAAAGGAGTAAAAAATTTCAAAAAATATTTAAAAAATACTTTGGTCTTTCCTCTTCAACAACATAACTTAAACAAAACTTTGTTTTCGTTGATTTATGAGTCATTTTTAATCGTGATATGCCGCTTTTTTACGTGACCTAATGGATGTAAGCTCTCCTTAAAGACAGATTCGACATAATAATTAGTTAATAATGTTGAATTGAATGATTAAATATTATCATTGTGTATCCTAACAAAAGAAACAGTCCATACTAAGTACAAAGGATGAGAAGTTCCTACTACTTAAGTTTAACTTTCTTTTTTTTTTTAGGTCCTCAAAGACAAGATGCAGAGACAAAAAGAGAAATGAAGAATTTCTAAGACCAATTTATGGCAGGATCTATTTTGGGACAAATCAAAGTTTTTTCACATATTTACATAGTATAACTTTTTTTTTCTTTTTCTTTTTACCAATAGCAGTCTTTTCTTTTCTGGTAGTAAATATTGGTTTTGTTTTGTTACACGTGCGCTAATATACCTTAAAAATAAAATTTTTCCAAAATTGTCATAATTCCGCGAAAATGTACATGCTAAACTCGAACAATTATTATAATAAAATTATGAAGAAACCTTACCGTTTTGGAGTTATCGACACGTCGAAGGTCCATCAATGTGTTTTTGTTTTGTTTTTTTTTAGTTTGTTTGTTTGATAAAGGAAAACTTTTCATGCAGACAGAATTACCAATACGAAAAAAAATCTCTCTAATAAATTATTGCAGGATTGTAAACAACAAAAAAAGAAAAATATAAAGAAAAGAAGACTATTTTCAATTTAGGGTCCTAAAAGTAATAACAGAGAAAAAAAATTACCTTTTTACGGCAAATATAAGCTTTTTTAAAAAAACTTTTCCCGCTAAGTTTTTACTGGCAATTATAACAAAGTAATACAAACAACGCCATTAATGGTTGCCGTGTTGTAACAAGAATGCAACTACGCAGGAGAACTATTTACATAGACACGCTCAGTTTGCGCAATGATACCTACACTGATAGCTTTTCTGCAGCGAATGTATGCAAACAACGCCAGTAATGGCTGACCGCGACGCGAATGAATTCGAAATTTCACTGTCGATAACTCCAAAACGGTAGATTTTACCAAATTTATCAAGCAAGATTCGAATGGATTATGTACAATTACACAAAACTGTATGTATTCTGGAAATTTCTAATGCGAACTGAGCGCGGGTGTTACACTGCAAATTAACTATTTAAAGCAGACTTGAATGTGAAAAAAATGATAAAACTATATTCAAAGAGACAGAAGGATGTGTTTTTTCCACCATATCTTTCTTTGAATTTCATATAAAATTTTTACAAACTGTTTAGAATTGGAAATTTCCTGCAGATTGGGGTAAAATTTAGGCCCCGGGAACCAACTGTAACGGAAACTTCCATTCTCGTGTAAATGTATGGAATGATGTTTCTCCTAATAAATTTGACTACGACATTTGAATAAGTCATAGATCTATGTTTAAAGCTGATGACCATTAATTTATAGAATAGTGTTTTTCCTGTTAAATTTGAATATTTGATTTGCATAACTCATATATCCATACATTATTTACCATATTCGGACTATTGTCCTCATTTCTGTCGCCATATTTATCACAACGTTTCGGCCGTTGTACGCTCCGGCCTTCTTCAGGTGGTTGGAATTTCAAACTGAACCCTTTATTTCGCTCACTGACTGTTCTAGTCCCACGTGCCATGTTTGATGGATGTCTGATCAGTTATCTCCTGCTAAAGTTTCCCCTCTGAAAGTTCTCCACAACTGCGGGTAAATTGAAAAGATGAGATACAATAGTCCTAATGTATAAAACATTTTACGATTTCCTCCCTTTCTTTCACCATCTGCATTTGATAAGTTTCATCGTTCGAATCTATTTTTGGTCGACAGTCAAAAAACGACCTGCTATGACCATTTGGAAAAAAATTCCCTATTAAAAAAATATATCCCAGACGTCAACGACAAAATGTTGTATGAAGAAGACCAAAAGTCAAAGATCCAGATTCGACCTTTGCCATGTCAATATTTGATCTTTCACATCCAAATATCCGTCTCCATAAGGGTGTCATTCAAAAATCCTTTATTTGACATACCAAATATTAATTCAGAGTCCTTTTGACTCGTCATTCAACATCCCTCAGGCTCACGAGATGATGAGATTGTCCCTTTGTGGACTTTCATTCAAAGTCCTTTTTTTACGAGACGATGCAGTACGCCAAATATTAAAAGGCGTCGTCCACAACAAAGTAAATCTGTTTTGAACCAAACTGCAAAAAAGAAAAGAAATATAGTATCGCTCCGGCACATTACCTTCAGGTGGTTTTCCATGTATGAATATTTAAAAAGTCTCACTTAGCTGAAACTTTTCTTCAAGAACCTTCCAACCTTTTAGTGATCTTGTTTGTAAACCAGATGGAGGGGGGTAGAACTGTTTTCCCTATTGATCCCAATAGACTGATGGAGATTGATTTCTTTTCCTGATTTAATAAAATATATCCGACAGGATGTTGGATCAGTTATTCTGTGTCCTATCTTTAATAAATTTTACGTGTTCAGGTTCCACTTTCTTCGCAGTTCACAATGGATAATTTTTTTTATAATATCTCGGGTTTAAGACATCCGTATACCGTAAACCGACTTGAACTCAAAAGTCATAACTTAGATAAAGTTAAAGTAGGCAACTACCCTAGCCAGCCCCAAAAACAGGATGGGCTCAACATCTCAGAAAGCGTCTTTTGGGTCCTTAGAAAGAAAATACATCTAACCAACGCCTTTATCCACTGTGCCATCGTTGTGATAAATATGGCGACAAAGATGAGGACAATAGTCCGAATAATGTAAATAATGTACATAATACTTCATCTCAGAAATATAGACAAACTCTGAAGGATCGGTACGGACCCGATATACCAAAAATATGGAGACAAATTGAAAAATCCTACCAGAAACTTGCACGAATATCGAACCATCTGACATTCCTACACCGATGCAGAGACCTAATGATAACAACTCATCCCTTCAGGCAAAATGGCACCAAGACTTTATAATCAAATTCAAGGAGTGCTCGTCGGGTCGCAGAGAAAAGGCGGACACGCCCTTGTCCGAGAGAGAATCCAGTACAATCGTTGGATAAAAACATCGACTACAAGTTTATATATCCCAGACGCTCGAGGATTTCTTCAACAGAATTACTAATGAAGAAGACCAGAGAAGGATCCAAAATGACCTGGATAAATCCTTCAGACATGAAATTTGATGTCGTCAAGGCTTCCTGCCTAAGTACAAAAATTAAATAGATTGAAAGATCAGAAGGTGACGTACAAGGTCCATCACCCACCAGTGAAAGCAATAGTCAACATCAGCCAATATCAGCTGAGTGCGTTTGAGGAGTCAGTTTTTTTTGAATACTTCCTCTTTCTTAACTTTGTTTCAACCGCCAAACCATCAGGCGGGTGACATACATTGGATATAATTACCAGAGTCGAGGAGGTGGCCCTTGAACATCCCTCAGGCTCAGGGCGGATGAACTGAGATAGAAAGTAAGACAGACCTTTGGAGAGAGCCAATCTTTTTTTTTCCCAGGTCTAAAATACAAAAAATCTGGAGATCAGTTGGCGATTGGATCCCACAGAGGAACGAAAACATCGTCATACCTCACCAGTTGACAAAATTGTAATGCGACCAATAGTGATGGACAAATCAGATTATACAAGAAAATGATGGAAGACCTCATTAGCAATGGTAGCTACAGCAAAGTAAAAAAGGACCCTACTTATGAAAACGGAACGCAAACTGTCACAGATCCTAATCAAGAACAAGGATCACTTTATTTACCTAAGACGTATAGGCAAAAAAATTATCGCAGCGTTACACTAAATCTACCTCATTTTTTTTTATTTACGGTCTCCCTAAGATTCACAAAGACAGTATTCCGCTTGTTCCGCTTGTTAGTTGCCAAGGCTCTGTGTGCCACCATATGAGTCGCTTCCTTGTAGATATAATTGACCCATTGATCGGAAAGTCTCCTTCATATGTCCGAAACTCCGCCCACTTCGTGCAAATAATCAAAGATGCTCCCATCCTATCCAACCAGATAGTGAGCTTGGACGTGGTGAGTTTGTTCACCAAGGTACCCACGGAGGAGGCACTCTCAGTAGCCAGAGACAGATTGGTCTCTGAATCTTCCCTAGAAGAACGGACCAGTATTCCAATAAATAATCTGATGGAGATGTTAACTTTCTGTACACAAACAACACACTTCGGAATGGGATCACACATATATCGACAGGATGAGGGGGCTTAGCAATGGGCTCTCGCCATTATCACCAGCAATGGCGAATATATACATGGAATACTTTGAGGAAATGGCATTAGAATCTATATTTCTAAAGCCAACTATATGGTTAAGGTACGTAGATGACACCTTCATACCTCCACCAGGCCACACCAGGAAGATGTTCAGGTTCTACTGACCAGGTGAACTCAATAAGACCTTCGATACAGTTCACAATGGAGAAAGAGAGTAACAAACAAAAACTCTCCATTCCTGGATGTTCTAATATCTCGAACAGAGCATGGGGTTTAAGACATCCGTATACCGTAAACCGACATTCACCACCTTTGACAGTACCTTTCAATTTCCACCATCCATACAGCGTAAAGAAAGGGATCGTCCGTTGCGCGTTACAACATCGAGCAAAAGTCAGTAAGTGGCGACCCAGAGACGTTAGATAAAGAATTGGTCAGTATAAGTAGTACCATACAACGTAACAACATACCCATAGGCATGGCAGCAGCCCCCAAAAACCAACTGGATAGGACGGGTTTGGATATTTCTCAGAAGAGGAGGACAACAACACCAGAAAACAGTCTGCCTGCCTTTGTGAAGGGGTTATCAGGGAAAATACAAAGGAGCCTCCTGCTTCGGTCCATATAAACTATCAGGACAATGCCTTCAAAAGCCTTGACGACATCTTCCCGCAGATATCTCTCCTGAGTAAGAACCCTCCACGGCTAGAGGAGAACATGACTCAAAGACTGTGTTTCTGGACGTCTATTTCCAAAAGGCACCCTGCAGCCCGTGACACATTCGGTCTAAAAGGAATATAAAGGAGAGACAGGCCATACCCACCCCCTCAACGTAAGGCTTCAAGAACACCAGAAAGCTGTAACACGAGGGGCAAGGGAGAAAATCAGGCGTGGATGAACCACATATGGAGAGAGAAGGAGATTACCCGTCCCTCTGTGGGATCAAGTTGAGATCATAGACAAAGAACATCATTGAAATATTCGTAAACTTATGAGCAAAGCCCACATATGCTAGGGCCACAAAAATCTTCTGAGACGACCAAGAACATAGAAATAAATACAATATGGGAACCAGTAATAAGGAAAGTGCCAGAGAAAAGTAATGAATAACAATAAAGGCTTGATCAATATGAGCGCACTGGTAAAAACATACAATGATAAACCGGCCGCCGAAAAAATTCCAGCAATATGAGCCCTATCGAAGGCCTGGTAAAAATTGATGGTTCACTGAAGACAGGTTTATAATTATCCAGAAATTATACCCAGGTGTCCCAATCATGACAGGACATGGCACAGTGGATAAAGGCGTTGGTTAGATCCAGTAACAGGACGTTAAAGAGGGTGAGTTCAATACCCAGTTAAGGCAGTGGAGAGAACTTTCAGAGGAAAGAAAGATAGCAGGAGATGAAAAATTCCAACCACCTGAAGAAGTTCAGTAGTGATAAATATGGCGACCAAGATGAGGACAATAGTCCGAATAATGTAAATAATGGACATAATAGCATCTCAGAAATATAGAAAGACTATAGAATTAAATGAACATCAACAGGTGGCATACTAAGGCCCTTGGTTAGAAAAATAAGCACTAATTTTCTGATGTTTACTTTTGCCAAACCAGATTTAGAAATGATAATTCAGAAATTTAGAAAGGCTATAAATAACACGAAAATCAAAGAAAAAACAGTAGAACAGTAAATCTTCCCAAGCTCAACCACGTACGTGAATTCATCATTTTTTTACGTACTTTTGTGTTACACACAGACACAAAATTACAATTGCACTACGCCGTGAACTGATTGTAAAAGTCAAGTAACCAACTCAGAATTCTATCATTTTTTTGTCCGTACAACTTTCTATCATACTTAAACTCATCACATATTGCTGAACTCTGAACCTTTAACACATAAAATCTCACATATGATCAGTATAAAGGAACTACACCCTAAGAGCCTTTCTTAACTTTTGTTTCACCAAACACAATTGTTGTACTCGCTTGTTTTTCAAAACCACATGTTATTGTTGATTACTGAATAATCTTTGTTATTCCTTCTTTCGTGAAATTTAAAACTGATGTCGCTAATCAAAAACGCAACCTTTCACGAAAGCCTTCTAACAATTTTATACCAAATCTCATTAGCACGCCACAGCCTCATTTTGCGGGCAAAAATAAAGTGAAGACGCAATCATTCATTTTTAATGGATGGTCTTTCAAAAAAGAAATCTAAAATTTGGTTTCTTTAATTCAAATCTTTTTTTTTCTCCACATCCATTCCTTTTTGTTTGTAAGATCACAAATACAAAACATGCCACCATCTTGGTGACATCAGCTTTTAAGAAGCTCCTTCGATTGTCTGAGATGCTGATACTTTTAGCCCTGCTGCCACCAACCTCTTTCTGGGAATGCAAAACCTCACCGGGACATTGCAAGAGACATCCCACTATATTGTATATTTTGTAGAACCAATATATGTATTGCCTCTTTTTTTTTGTATTCCGATAATCAACCTAAATAATTTTGGGATTGTTTTTAAATTTTATTTAATAAACATAAAATGTCCGAAGATGTTTTTTTTTTCATTGATTTCAAAATCAGTTGTGAACATGTTGAAATTTTAATGAAATTTTGGGCATTTTATTCATTAATAAATTAATTCTATAAGGAATAGCTTCTTTGATTTAAAAAACATTGAGAAAATACTTTTATCTCATAACACGAGGGTTTCAATGTTTTGTCATTTGAATAAATAAAAAAGTTCAATTGCTAATTTTTACATTTCTAGAAACATCAAAACGATGAGACTACATAAAAATGAATTAAATTTATAATGTGATCACACTGAAAAAGTTATTTAAATATGTTAATTTTGTTTTTAAAAACTCAAAAAAGAAAAACGTCGTAAGGTTAAAAAAAAATGTATATGTAGTGGTATTGACAGCATAAATCAACCCACACATTTTTTTTTATTTTACGAATGTGTAAGAAAACAAAAAGCAATCAAGAGAAAGAACACAAGAAAATAACTTTTCTTAACAGGTGCAATATTTATATTTATAAATGACAATAGTTTTACAATAACTATTAATATGAGTTTCACCATTCCCTTTGACTGAGCTAAATTGATGTTTTTTATCTGGACTAATAAAATATTTTTTATCGACTTTCTGCTCACAAAAAGCTTTTTCCTTCTTTCCATTGACTTGTCGTTCAAAATGTTCATCTCACTGAAAGAGAATCTTGTAAAGCTGAAAATATGTTGATAAACTTTAGGCTTTAAAATCAGTTGGAGAGGTGAATGTTCAAATTTGTTTTCGTTGCTCGTAGTTGAATGTATTGTTCGTAATTGTTTGTAAACTTATATCGTAAGATTCAATAACGTAATTGAATAAGAAAACTTTTAAAAGGAAAGAAAAAAGAATTATTAACGGTAAATTGCAGAAGTTGGTGGGTGAGTTGTAATTCGTTGAAATTGTGAAAAAAACACAGAATTTCAGTGAAAATTAACGTAGTTATTCCATTTTAAAGAACGAGGTTCTAAAAATCAAAATTTTTTCAAAAAAATTCGTAAGAACATAATGATTCAAAGACAACTCGTTCAACAACAATCGTTTAACAAACAAATTCTACAGTCGTCGTAAATTCTCCATTCCCCCTGGGTTCGCTCGTATCTTCAATTTATATGTTTTTAATCACGGACTGGCTCCAATAAGCATTGTTTTTTTTGTCAGGTCAAAACTAGGTTGACGTTATTCGGACGTAGTGGTGAGCAGGTAAATTGTTTTTTTAACCACTCAGAAAGCGCCTAACAAAACTCAGTCTGGAGCCTGATATGTTTTGTGTGTTGCTTATTAAGAACAATGCACGTGGAGATATACGAGATAATTTTACTATTTATTGTCCAATGAGAAGTTCAGGTTTTAGAAAATGTATGAAGATGTGATCCGCTTTTTTTGCACGAAAATCGACATTTGTGAAGAAATGGTAGCGGACAGCTAAATATACACCGGCAAAATAACGAGATAGTAGTTACTTTACTTAAAAAAAAATTATTGTCAGTCACTTCCCTGGAGAATAAGTTAATGTTTAATGCAAGTATCAAAGGTGGTCAACGTTTCTTATGAAATTTGAATGATTTTTAATACAAATGTTCAATGTTCAGTTATTTTTATTACGAGCATTACTATGGACTAAATTTTAAATTATACTGAATATAAGAATGAAATAAAAAGCGATAAGAAAATGTATAAGAAAAAAAAGGTAGTAATTTTTTTAAATTGAATTTAAGAAAAAAATATAAACAATCATTGGCTGTATAGGATAAACTCCTGTAATTATTTACTTCTATTTTTAAGCATCACTTCCCTATGACATTGTAAGATGCAAATGGGCCACGAATGTCTCTAGCTAAGTTTGGGATAGTCAAAAAATTATCAACCTTTTTTTTTATAACCCCACTTTCAGTCTTGTGCTAAATTGTATCTTCATACAATAAATTAAAAATACCTATGCCGTTGAGTATGCTCTTTTTCTATTTTTTTTTATCGATTAGAATAAGTAAAAGGCAAAACTTGAGTGGTGTGACTTACCGTAAGTTGAAAGCTACCAGAAAACACTAGGAAAGAAAATGTGCTGCATCTTTACATGTCTTCCTACAAAAGAAATATTTAGCTAAAGCAAAATGCAAAGACGAGGATACTGAATGCACATCAAAAATAGGAGGGGAGAAACAAAAAAAAATGTGAATATGGTGGAGACAGATATAGAAATAAAAATTGAAGAGGAATTTCCTGCAGGAATTAATGTTGTTAAAGAAACTGAAGGGAAAAATGTGCCAAAGGAAGAGAGCTCCAGTGTATGCGGTAAGGACAAGTATGAATATGAAGAAGGAACTGATGAAATTCTAGGATATAAAGAAGTAGAACAGGCAAACACAGATATTGCTGTGTACGAAGACATCGCATTTTGGCCACGAACTTGCTCGGAGCAGCTGCTTGATGAACTTGTAACATTGGGACCTAAAATGTTTTAAAACAAAGATTAACCGTTTGCTTCGACTGTAAGACCGGGAAAAAATAGTCCGAGGGTAATGCTACTACATTGGTTTTACAAAACTATGGAGAATGGAGTGACTGTTTTGAGATCATGGTTGCTGTACTCAAAGACAAACAAATCTATTGTTTTTGCTGTCGCCTCTGCCTGAAAACAGAGCAACGCAAATCAAGTCTAGCAAGAAATTCAGGATTTATTAAGTTCTGGAAGCTTAATTAAAAAATGCCTGAATGTGAAAATTCGTCTGACCACCAAAGAGCTTTCAAGAAATGGAAGATGTTAGAAATGACCCTTAATAAAGGTAAAACCCTTGACAGTAAGTTACAAGAGCAAACTATAAAAGAAAGACAGATTTGGAGACAGGTTTTAACACGCTTACTTGATGTTGTGAAGTTTCTAACGAAACAGAACCTGTCTTTTTGGAGGTCATTGAGAAGATGTATATAGTTCCAATAAATGTATCTTTATAGAACTTGTTGAACTTATGAGCAAGTATGATCCTGTTCTTGGAAAGCATTACTTGATAGAAATAAATGAGATCCGCCTGTACTTGTCACCGAAAATCCAAAATGAATTCATTCATATCTTGGGAAACGACGTAAAGAAATATATATTGGATCGAATTCAATTCCTTATTTTTATAGATACAAATATTTAAGTAAATTCTCTCTTTATAATAAACAGTATTAACAAAATTTATCAGCTTAATTGTCTGAGAAATTTGAAAAAAAAATGTGCTCTCTGACATTCAGGCGGGTAAATGTTGTTAATGCTGTTTATTATAAACAGAGCATTTACTTAAATATTTGTATCTATAAAAATAACACATTGTCATATGCTTTAGTCGACGAATGGGTTTATAAGGCCGACCAGAAGATATATACATTCTCACACCTGTGGAGAGATACAGGCTATCTCTCCCAGATCATGACAATGGACAATTGGTAAAAAAAAATAATTTTAAGAACACTGTTCGATTGGGATAATCGAACAGTAATCTTTTCCCAGGTTCGCTTCGGTTTCAACACGAATACTGATCCACAATACACGGATGAACTATAAGGCTTAGCGATTTTTGATACAAGGATTTTAATATGTACAAATATACAAATATCAAAATAAAAGAACAGATAAGTATGAGTTAAAACATCCGACGACCAGATCTCAAGACTTACGTTGGGATATCAAAATTCGCCCAACACCAAATGGATTCAACTGAACCCGAACATACAAAAATATAAGTATGAATTACTATGAATTGAATGCAGAAGCCAACGCATACACAAAAGAGATGGGATAGGAGTTATAATTATTGTTTTACATGTGGAAAGGTGTTTGCAAGAACATAATATTCATGGATGTATGTATATCTTTCTATTACGGGTCCAAAATTTTTATATTACTTATCTTTTATATTCAGTTTCTATTTTTATCATTGTCCTTTCTTTTCTTTTCTTGACACAAATACAATTTCACACACTGTCCGGCTGTAACAGAAGTATACACTTTCTCCTCTCTCTTTAGTTTTCTTCTTTCTTTCCTTCTTCTTCTCTACACAATTCAGCTTATAACAAAGGTATACACTTTATTCCTTTCTGGTTTATTTTTTCTTTCTTTACACAATTCAACTTGTAACAGAGATATATATACTTTCTTCTCTGGTTTTCCTTTTTCTTTAAACGCAGGCTGAATCCTCACCGTATAAATTTCTCTGCGTCTTCAATTTGGGGTTATCGAACAGAAATACTTCTTGTATTTCTTGTCCGGAGTTGCCTGGGTTGAACTGGATAAGTTCCATCACTATCAAATGAGTCTTATCTTTCCGTTCATAAACTATCAGCGCTTCGTCTTCAGGTCTTGCTCCTTCAAAGTCAAGATAGCAACTGATTCTCAAGTGAATCTCTGGCTATCACATGTCTTAAGTTTTGGCGCGAATTCCAGCTTACATCAGTCCCCTGTCTAGCTTCTGTCTAGACATTTGTCGCTACGGGTAATTGGGTCAGTCAACCTTTTGACCTGCCTTCCCAAAATGTCATAAGACTCCCACGTGATCCCTATTCTGTTGTTAGGCGAAAATTAACCTTAATAGATGCGTGTATGCGTGTTTATGCTATCTGCGTTCGTTACAACATAAAAAGAAAATATATTAAAATAATTGTCGGTCTTAGTCCATTTCATAAAATATTATTTGTTTACATTAGGATTCACCAGGACAGATCCATTAATCATAAAATCTGTGAAATCTCCATTTGTTTTAAGCAAAGTTTTTTTTCTCTATCACCTTGGTGGACACAAAGTATAACTTTTCCTTCTTCAAATGGATTGCTTGGAAAGATTACACACTTCACATTATAAGTCTATTGTTCGTTTCCTCATCACACCATTTTATATTTTAATGAAATGAATATGATAAAGATAATTATATCAGGAAAAATGAAATTCATAAAAGGAAATAAAATTAAATAAAAATCATTTTATACTTCGTGTCCACAAAGTATAACTTTGCATTCTTGAAATGGATTGCCTAGAAATATTACCCACTTCACACCATAAATCACTTCTTCAACACCCCGCCACCAGCCATTTCATATTTTAATGAAATGAAAATGGTAAAAGAAGTTATATCAGGAAATAGGAAATTCATAAAAGGAAATTATATTATACAAAAATCATTTTATATTTTGTGAACACAAATTATAACTTTGCCTTCTTGAAATGGATTTATTGGAAAGATTACCCACTTCACATCAAAAGTCTTTTGTTCGCCACACCCGCCCGCCATATTATATTTTAATAAAATGAATATAATAAAGAAAATTACATCAGGAAAAATGAAATTCATAAAAGGAAATTATATTATATAAAAATCATTTTATACTTTGTGAATACACAGTATTGAATGAACATGATAAAGGAAATAGCAGTAGTTATGTCTCCTATCGCCACATTCACACACCTTCCCGGTCGTTTGAACAGGAATAGATAGTTATAGCTACTGGATACTCCTTACTTAGGCAGTAAAAAGGATCCAGGCGTTAGAGAAGAAATGTTTAGAAAATTCCTTTGGTTCTCCTACTGGTACCATGAAAGCAATGACTATGTACGGAGCAAGGTCAAAAGTCTAGCGGGCCGATAGGAATCTCTTCTCGCCATTATTAAGCGTCGGAAGATGGCATGGTTTGTGTACGTTACCCGGTATGACAGCCTCTGCAAGACCATCATGCAGGGCAATGTTGAAGCCGGACACAAGCATGGACGTCAATGCAAAAGCTGGTCAGATAAAAATCATATGGCAATGTCAGAACACCTGACAAGATGTACCCAGCTTAAGTTATTTGGGAGCAACCCTGTCAAAAATAGCATCTGCGACACAGAAATCCATTGACGGGTCGCCAAATATGGCAATAAAGATGAAGACAACAGCCCGAACGATGTAAATAGTTACAATACCTCATCTCAGAAATATAGAGAGATACTGAATGATCGGTACGGATCCGATTTACCAAAAATATGGTGAATATAGCAATAAAGGTGAGGACAACAGCCCGAACGATGGAAATGGTGTAAATAGTTACAATACCTCATCTCAGAAATATAGACAAATATTGAAGGATCGGTACAGACCCGATTTACCAAAAATATGGTGAATATGGCAATAAAGGTGAGGACAACAGCCCGAACGATGGAAATGGTGTAAATAGTTACAATACCTCATCTCAGAAATATAGACAGATACTGAAAGTTCGGTACAGACCCGATATACCAAAAATATGGTGAATATGGCAATAAAGATGAGGACAACAGCCCGAACGATGGAAATGGTTACAATACCTCATCTCAGAAATATAGATGTAATGAAAACAGGACAAGAGATTCTGTCTAGTAATCGTTTATTCAATTAAGAATACTACTACTCATCTGACTTGACAGCGGAAGTATACAGCTTTTATAGCTTGGATTATCTAAGAGGAGATAATCCATATTCACAACATTCTCCCCCACCAAATTTCTCACTGATAGGGAAGAAAGTCCCTTAAATGTCCAGGCTCCCTACGAGTTCGCAGTGGCCGCCTCGGCAGTCCATGATTCGTGGTCGGAGTACTCGAACAGGGAGGCTCTTCAGTGCGAGCCTGTCTGTGGGTTCTAAAATACCTTGCTCCGAAAGGTTTTCTTCTCAGAGGAGCAGGCCGTTCCGCGTCAGAGTCAGTCTCTGGATGAACACGTTTATTCGGTGCTAGCCCTTCATCTGTCAGGGTTTCAGGTGTTGGCCCATCCGAAGTGTCTGACGGGGCCTCAACGGAGACAGTGTCGTCAGACGGCGTGTCAGGAACAATTTCAGTGCCATGATCTTCCGGAGGGGCTTCAGTGTCAGGGGTAGTTGGTCTGTCCTCAGGGGCTATCCACGGTCCGGGTACGTCTCCGGCCGGTGCTAGGTCCCTGAGAGACACATTAGACTCTCTACCATCTGCATGTCGTACTAGCGCGTACTGAGGGTTCGCCTCTATAAGCTCTACCTCGTCCACCAAGGGATCGTTCTTGGTGTAACGTGCATGTCGTCTCAGAAACACAGTACCGGGTCGAGAGAGCCAAGATGGAAGCGAAGCTCCCGCCGAACTCCGTCGCTGAAAAGGTAGAAACCTTTCGTGGGGGTGGCATTCGTGGCGGTACACAATAGGGAACGAATGGCGTATAATGCGACAGGAAGGAGATTTTCCCAATTATCAATTGAACATCCGTTATTTGAGGCAGCCAATTGAACGGTCTTCCAAATAATGCCGTTATATCTTTCGCATTGGCCGTTACCCTTAGGGTTGTAGGGAGTTGTCCGACTTATAGCTACCTCGTTCCTGT